CCGTTCTGGCGTTGTCCCGCTGCCCCCGGGGCTTTCACGGTCCTGTGCGGGGCAAAAGATGCAGGAGGCCCTCAGAGATGAGGTCAGGTGTTCCATACGTACACGGCGAGAGGAGCATTTGCGGAGGGCCTTAGTTATGCTTGCTTGTTGTGAACAGTATGAAGGAACCGTTTTCTGTGTCGTGCTGGTGAAAAGTGATGGGAACACAGTGCCACAAGTTGACAATAAAATGTAATACTGGTGCCTGAAAGCATGATGGTGAAATGTCACCGTGTTGGATCACCTTCCTGGCTTTTTGAAAACTTCTCCTGGCTCAATTAGAAGCACCGAAGGAAAGGGCCTTTCAGGTGTCACGTTGTCCCTTTCTGGAATGGCTGTCGATTTTTTTTGTCATGCTCAGTCTTAACTATAAGGTTTCAAACATGCCTTTAGCACTAAGTTACCTAGTGATAGATTAGTCTGCATGGAGCTAAACAAATAAAAACACTTGAGAAGTAATCAGATTGTGTACACTGAGTTAATCTTTTTCTTATTTGAGCTGGAGAGCTTGCTGTTGGGGCTGTCAGCTGTACTTCATGTTTGCTTTACCCTGCAGATCTCTTAACAAGAGAGTCCTCAGTGAAACTGCAACACCCTGTTTTCTACAGGGAAGGAAAATACTGAGTATTGATGTTTTTCCTCAGTGTAAGAAAGGTTATAATCTGTTTGGGTAGACTAAAAACCAGTAAAAGACAAATGATTCTCACTGTCAAGTGGGTTATATGATCCTGTGCTGAGATCAGTCTAGGCTTTTGGAAAAAGTGATAATAGGCTTTTTTTGGTTTAAATTATTAGGCAAATGTGCATACAGAATATTTGTACAAATTTCTACTTTATGATTTTTTTTTTAATCTAAAATGAAACTTCTGTAATTCCTTCAAAAATGAGGATGTTGCTTTATATGAAACAAAACTTCTTCAACTTAAAAGTACTTACGGTTCCTCTTAGGTTGCTCATGAGAACAAAGAGAAATGCTACTTAACCATAAATAGAAAGTTTTTTTCAGACAAAATGTCCTCCCGTGTCTAGCGTTTTCTTTTTATGTTTACCTTGTTTACTAGCCTTTCTTCAGTGCTTTGGCCAGTAAGTATCTTAATGAGCCTATTTTTGGACAGCTGAAAACAAACCCATTAATCTTTTCTGCTGTAAATCTTCATTTCCGTTTTGTTTTCTCCAGTGTCATAGCTTTTCAGTAGTCGGGGCTCTTATGGTTAAGACTCTTCTCAGAATGATGTTTTCAGCAGATAAGTCAACTGCTGTTTTTCATTAATTTCTATCAGTGCCCATCTCTTTTCTGACATTACAAGTTGCAATACTTGTCTAACTAGAGGTACGTGTAGGGTCATGTTCAGAGGCCCGCTCAAAAGAATTTGAGAAACTTTTAAGAATTTAGTTCCCATCAGCTGAGATACAATAACTAACCTTTGGAATTCTGCTGGCTTATGCCATTTCATCTGGAAATTAGTTAAAACACTTTCTATCATTTGACTGTTCTTACATGTCTCATTGTTCTTAATTTCTCTGTCTACTCAGGTATCCTTAAAAGCCCTCTTTCACTAATGTGAAACTGATGATGTTGTAAGTGATGCTATTTTTGGGCTCTCAGCTTCTAGAAAGAAATGTGACATGGTGGAATTAAGAGTTAAGCCTAACTTTTCATTTGGACCTGCTTGACTCACAGACAAGCTATATGAATTGCGTAATGTAAGGTTAGTTTTCTACCTCTCATGGGATACTTCTGTGCAGTATTGTACGTACAGAGTAAATCCAACGTATGTTTTTCTGCCCAGTTTGGGAGGAAAAGAGAATTTGCTTCCTGTGAAACTGTGAATGGAGTTCTGAAGAATACGAGTTGCCGAAACACATTTACTATGACTTTGTCATTGATATATTATATGACAGATACAGACCATCAACCATTTGCTATGATCATTAAAATTAAATGTGTTGCAACTGTAAGAATGATGACAGACAAAATATACTGGTACATAGGTCCATGAGTAGATGAAGACTAGATTCCTGTGGATTAATGTCTCCGGGTTGAGTTTCTGATCCCTAATAAGGCTGATCTTGTGCTTAATTCTTAGTATGGCCATTAATAGGGTCTACCCTTTACTTGCTGTCTTAAAAATATTTTCACAAAATGCTTTGAAACTGAAAACCTTTGTTAAGCTGAGAGGAAATTGATCACTGAATCAGTTGCTTGCTGGGTTTTGAGTGATTGTGCTGCTTGTCATGCTCGGTAAGATCAGAAGGAGATGTGTTAGCCCAGAGAACCGACACTGCTGTTATAGAAGGAATTCAAAATTACTCTAGGACAGGTGATGCCAAACTTGTTTGAGAGCTATCATTTCATGCTTATTGGTGATACCTGTGGTCTGTGTGCTGGAATATGGATCTTGCTGATGTCTGTATGAGGTTCTAGTTAAGATCGAGGGGAAAATACAGCTTGATATAGTAATGTGCAGGACAGAGTAAGTTGTTTGGGTTTTTTTTGTAAAACCCAAATGAATATTACTCCATGTTGTTATTTCTACCAATGTTTTACTACTTTTATTTTTCTCTGTCTTTGAAAATACCCCATATTTCCTGTTTCCCAGCGCTCAGTGTTTATGCTTTCTCAGTCTCATTTAGACTTCATTTCAGCTGACTAGAGTGAGAGGCACTGGAATAGTGAATTCTGATACTGGCAGTAAAAATGTGCTTTAGTGAGATAAAGGGAGGGAAGATGAGATAAATTTATCACTTCAGAAAATGTAAGGAATATTGGTATACTTGAGCACAGACTGAGTACGTTGATTTACTCTCCTTTCATGTTTGAAAGGTTTCTATCCAAGTCTGGGGGACAGAAATTTATGACCTTTAAAAAATTAAATATAAGGCTCTGGAAAAACATCACGTCGCCTCTATAGAAAATACAATATATGAGTTGAATCTCATCCATGGTTTCTTTGGGAAACTTCAGCTCTAATGGCTAGAAGAATGACACCTTTACTGTGGCTTTTTTGTGTTGACTACAGGGCCAAAGGGAGTTCAAGCATTTGCCAATCTATTGCCTCTTCCCCAAAGTAGGCTCAGACTCTCTCTCCCAACAGATGCTGTTAGCACAGATCTTATGATGGTGATTCTGTGACCTTTAGGCAAACTGCTGCAGTGTGTAATAGTTTTAAGAAAAAATTTCTGTCTAACCTACCTTTTGAGGGTTTTAATTTTAATCAGTTACTATGTGACTTCACTATACTGGTCATAGCTGTCTGCAGCTTTTAATAATTTCTTTTCCCACGTCTGATGATTGTTATCCTATTTTCCCTCCTCTACCTTGCCATTCTTAAGACTCAGCAATCCCCATTCTTTTCTTACAAGATGTATTTCTTCTGCCTCGAGTAATTTTTGAATTATAGTCAAGTGAATTGCCCCAGCATCAACATAGTAATCTGGGTTATGTCGAATTAACATTGGTAAAAGAAAGAATATTTCACAATTTACGAAATTACCCTTATTTTTACATCTTGTATAGTGTTAGCTTTTTCTTTCTAGAACATGACATTGTTGATGCATATTCAACTTGAAATACTAAAGCTCTTGAATAACCTTTTTTTTCTCTTTTTCCTACCAACTGCTGTTCTCCTTGCTGTATTTGTCCAGCTGGACAGTGTCAGCTGCAAACTTAGTAAACATTTTATATTACATTATCAGGTCATTTAATGAAAATATATAGTGGATTCACTCTAGGTTCTCGCTTGATACTTCTCTCCAATTTGACACTTAATTTCTGTTAACTGCTGTATTAGTTCTGATACTTACCCAGTTTCGCTTCCATTTTAGGAAAGTTAATTTAGTTCATGTTTCTTCAGCTTACTTTTGTGAATGTCATCTGTGTCCGAGGCTTAAAAAAAAGAAAGACCTCTACTGCTTCTTCCCTGTTTAACAAATTTAGTTACTCGTTACCAGATCGATTAATTTGATATCGATGGATACATTGCATTTTTTTTATTTTTTTGAGAACAGATCTTTTGCTGGAAACTTAAAATAGTCTTTTGATTTTTTCCACATATTTAAATTAAGTTGATTAGTCTATAACTTCTTGGCCACAGTTTTCTCTCCTTTCCCTTCTTTTAAGACACTGCATTTGCCTTCTTCCACAGTATCTCCAGTTCTCCTTGAGTCTTTAAGATGCTGGTTCTTAGACTTGCTTCAGACAGTTAGTTACTTGGGGTTATTTGTCTTGGTTGGCCCTGGCCAATCTGAATATAGCTTTGCAAGTAGTGTGAGGCAAAGGGGAATGGCTCTGCAGACCAGAACAATTGATAAAGCCCTGATGTCTCCGCTGTATGTTTTGCAGGGAGAATTTGCTTTGGGCTATGGTCTTATCCTGGGTACTGGGCGCTTAGAAGTAGTGAGAGTGCATCTTTTGATTTAGTTCTCTCCTAATGGGCTCTGCCTCTTGCATCTTGGCACTGCTTCATGGTGTGAACAAACGTAATAACTTGGGGAGCAGTTGGAAGATGTGCTTCAAAAGTACATCCTGCTGACCTGAACCAGAAAGGCTAATGTAAATGTAGTCTGAGTCTATGAAGTTGCTTTGGGAATATTGTGCAAGCCAGAGACTGTTCAGTTACCGTTAGGATTTAACATTCATTACTTTTTCTGGTCTTTCTGCCTAGGTTTCAAGATACTAATGGCAGATTCATCCAGTGATTCAGACAACTTTCTTAGGGGTCGAATAGGAAGGCGGCCACCTTTGAGAGCATCCCACAACAGAGCTCGGAACTATGGTGCTGAAGAAGTTACAGAGAAGATCCATACTTTAGCAAGCACTTTACAGGTTGTTTACAAAATACAGTTTTAAAGTATTTATAGAATCTGCATTTCTGTAGTATAGGGTCAAATTTTCATTTCTGAAGTTGTGGAAAACACTGTGCTGATGGGAAACATTACCTTCTGTGCAAACCAAAAAGTTTTTGGAAATTGATCATATTGCCTTTGAGCTGAAAGTATGTGGCTTGTTACACTTTTATACAGCCGTTATTTCAGACAGTAACAGGATGTTGTTAGAAACAATGACGTGTTTGGTAATACTGTTTGTAAAGTTAGCAAACTGAATAATGCCAAATAAACTTTGTCAGATTCTCACGAGAGGCATTACATTTTGTAGCAGAAAGTTTCGGCCCCATCTTTGTTGTCTTGTACTGTGTAAAATTTCCCAGTTGCTAATAGAGTAAATATGTAGGCAGTCAATTCCCTCATGATACAGTTTACAATTCAAATATTTTCTAGAGGTGGAACAGCACAGTGAGAAGGAGTATTTTTAAACTTGGAAGAGATCCATGCCCGAGCAGGAAAAAGCAGTCATCTAATTCCTGCTTCTTCAGTGGAGGCAGAGGAGGAAATCTCTGAATCTGTTTTACAAGTCGGGGGAGACATTTAGCTATCTTGACACCATTTATTGCTTGAGAAGTCATTCCCATTCTCCTCGACTGACAGCTCTGAATACCTAGAGTGGGTGGGCTTATGTATTATCACTTGTGTTGAAGTGTTGTTTGGCTGGCAATATTTTTTTTTTCTTTTTAATATGTGAGAAGAGAAAAATCCATATAGAATGCTGAATTTAAACTTCAAAACTTCTTAGCTGGAAAATAATCGTCAAGCTAGAAAAGAGATGAGTTAATAAGAATGTAATCTGACTATTTTTTAAAGGGCACTCTTTGGTATTGTCCTGTTTCTGTCTAACCTCTTTCTAGCTGCTCCTCTGAAATTCTGATTTTAAGCTAATTGCTTTCTGTGGACTGCTTTTCAGCAGATCTGCCATCTGATCCAGCTCTTCATCTGGTCAGAGAATGCTCATGCAGAGACCTTACCTAATGTGTTGATCTTCAAAAATTTCTTATTTCTCAGTTAACTTAATTCTGTTTTACAGGCAGGTAGCGTTAAGATCTTTGGATTAAAAAGGTTTTTCTACAGAGTAGCTGAAACTTATAAAGCCTTTTGTTTGAAGCTGAAGCCTTACTGTTGTACTGTAAATGATAGTGTGGTTGGTTGTGTGTGTGTCTTTCTTCCCTTCCCTTTAGCCATGCTGTATATCTTCAGATTCTGGTTACTTGAATAGGATTTTGAATGCTTAGACCATTTAAAAAGCACTTGTGTTATCAATTTACTTTTATAAACCAAGAATAATCATAGAATAGTTTGGGTTGGAAGGGACCTTTAAAGGTCGTCTAGT